AATAATAATAATAATAATAATAATAATAATAATAATAATAATAATAAATACACAAAGTAAAACATGAAAGATGAACATGAAGATGAAACTAATAATATTTCTGTTCCATTCAAAACAGATGTTAGTGGAGAAAAGCACTTGCCATGCAAGCTTGGTGATTGAATTCAACTAGTGATCTGAATTCAATCTCTGGAAGCTATAGGGTGCTGCAAGTTTTCCTCTGTCCTTTAAATGTGTGTCTGTACTTATAACATGCAAGTTTCACTCTCACACATAGTAATAATGAAAACAAGAAAATAGACTTTAGCAGCCAAGGCTACATAGTGAGACCCTATCTCAAAAAGATAGACTTAAATTTTTTTTTGCATTTATTTTATCTATATGAGTGTTTTGCCTGCAGGTGTGTATGTGAGGAAGTCAGCAGAAGCTGTCAGATCCCTTGGAACTTGGGATCTGGAGTTACAGCTGGCTCTGAGCCATCATATGGGTGCTGGGAACTAAATTCAGGTCCTCTAGAAGAACAGGTGCTCTTAATCACCAAGCCATCCCTCCAGCCCAGGCAAATAGACTTTGTAAAAGAAAGAAGTACTTCCTAATAGATACTACCAGATACATGAATCTTAGAGGAGTATGTGAAAGAAGCTGGACCTGTCTGACTCTATACTCTCTACTCAGCACCAGGGTTATGGATGACGACCTCTGCCTCAGGCTTTTATGTAATGCTGGGCATCCAAACTAAGGTTTCCATGCTTGTGTGGCAAGTACTTTACAGACTGAACCATATTCCCAGCCCCCCATGTGGTGCACTTTGCACTTTGAATACAGTTATCTTCCTATTGCCCTCTCCTCTCTCTCTACATGAACTGTATATTTTAAAGTGGTGAGTCATGTGGCTCATGAGTCATATCTCAATAAATCATTTCCTTATGTAAAGCAGTGTTTCAGGTTGGTTTTAAATTCTTGATTCCCCTGCCTCAGCCTCCCAAGTTCTGAGATTACAGAGTTGGGCACACCCAGCAATAAAGCCAAACATTTAAGAATTGGCCTTCCAAAATTTCTGGCTGACTTTGCCTAACATTTAGTATGGACAAATAGGGCTGGGTGTAAGTGGGTGGTAGAGTGCTTACATGGAATTCATGAGGCCTGGGTCTCCTCATCACTACAAAAAAATGAAACAAACAAAAAAGATAACATTGACATTGAGTTTTTTCCATTGTAGTTTTTGAGCAGGAAAGTCTATCAGAAATCAGGAAGCGTGGGCATCTTCAAGTATCTTAGTTCATGTAATTCCCTTTGAATTGTTGTTTCCTCATCATCATCTTCCTTGTAGTGAATTGCTCTTTCAAACAGTGTGGAAGATGAGCACTTCCCTCATGAAGTGGCCTTTTCTCCACTCATGTCTGCCATGAAGACTCAGCAAAGCTTTCAGTAATCCTCACTTATGGCAAAGGTATATGAAAGAAGAGAGACAAATTCTTTGCTCTTGCTATATCAAGCATAGTCAGGGACTATAATTACCTTGTTGGTTCTCATTTATTCTAAAAATCATTGCTATGTTTTCAAAAACTATGCTTGTAATAGTGATTAAATTATTATAATGCAAGTAAACAAACATGTCTACCTCTCTGCAGGTTTTTCTATTGTGATAATGTCAATCTGGCCTTATCTTCAAAAGGTTTGTACATTTCAGTCTGTTCTTTGAAGTAATAGTAGCAGTAACCCAAATGTTGCTAAGCGTTGTCTAAAGGGTGTCTTTAGTATTCTGTGATTCGATCTGGTCCAGAATAACTTAAAATAATAGTTTCTCAAAGGAGGTGTAGGTGGGCCATATGCTTCCTTGTACAATCAAAAGTATTTAGAACAGGAAGGTGCCAAGCTAAGAAGTAGACTTCTGCCTGGAGAGTGGCCAACAGAGTGAAGGCGTGGTCACCCACTTAATTCAGCCATGTTCACATATTGTCACTACCTCCCTAGTGAAAAGGAGCTCAAGTAGACAAAGTGAATTCTTAAAGTGTACATATGATATTTCTGAGGAATAGTTTCATGATTTTCTTGTGGAATTAATTTGGATTTTCAGGAAAACTTTGTAAAAAGGATAGGCAATATGGCTGTCTCTTGAAATTCCTAGGAGATTGGTTTTCAGGTGAACCAAAATGTGTGGATATTCAAATTCATTACATAAAGTGATGTAGTATTTGCATATAATATGTGCACATCCCGCTGTGTGCTGTAGTCATCTCTAGATTACATATGATGCGTAGGACAATGCCAACATTGCGTGATTGTTAAACTGCTCTGTCCTAAAACAGTGACAAGAAAAGAGTCTGTGTTCAGTTCACTTTCGTCCTTCGTGGTCTTTAATGTATGATGGTCAGGGCTTATGCTGCCCTTTCTTAAACCTAGAACTCTTCACTTCTTTGTGCCAGCTTTCATCTTAACTCTGATTACGCAGTCTTAATTTCTCTGTATCTTTAGCAGCTCACTCCTTGCTTACTGATTTTCCAAGGATCCATGTGTGTTAGGCTTTGGCCTATAGCAGATAAGTAGACAGCAATGTGTTACACATAACCTACTTCAGTGACACAGGCTCTGCAGGGCTACACACAGTCATCCTAGGTCCTTTTCTCTTTCCTCCTCTCTCCTTCCCTTCTACCTTTCTCCCTTCTATTCACCCTTCAACCCTCTGCTCCTCTCATCATCTCCAGAAAGTTATCGCTGATGGTCATCATCCAGTTTGGGCCACGTTTTCTGTTTATAGTTGGTCCTCCTTATCCTTGAGTTCTGCATCCAAATATTCAAGTAACTGCATTTTAGAAATGTTTTTAAAAATCACCTGTGCTGTTTTTTCTTGTATTACCCCTAAACTATACTGTGTGACAGTTATCTTTACAGAATTTACATTGTAGTAGATATTAGAAATGATCAGAGATGACTTACACCTGTAGAAGATATGTGTAATTGGTATGCAAACATGTTCTATATGAAGGGCTTGGGTGGGCACTCATTCTGGGGTCTTTGGGAGTTGTGGAGTCAATTCTGAGGACACCAAGGGATGACTCCACTTCATCTCTGTATCCTCAGTACTTACCATCTTGTGTTATGCTGTTGGAGGTACAGTGATGAACTCTCCCATGACTGTAGCATCTTCAGGAGTTCTCCACAGAAATACTAACCCACATACATTCTAGTAGGAATGCAGGTGGTTCAGCCACTGGGAATACAGCCTGGATATTTGTCACAAAGATAAACATGGTTTTACTCAGTGACCAAGCAGCCAAGTTTCCAGGTGCTTAGTAACCAGTATCTGAAGATTTATATGCATACAGAAGTCTGCCTTGGAATGTTTGTGACCGCCAGAAGCCAAAGACTGCTATTGTGTAATGACTCTTAAAGCATTTACTTCTCTCTGCAGATTGATCATACAGCTGATGCAAGTTTTTTGGGCTGGGTTATTGCTTCATATAGTCTTGGCCAAATGGTATCTTCACCTCTATTTGGCTTATGGTCTAATTATAGGCCAAGAAAAGAACCTCTTACCGTCTCCATCTTTATTTCGGTGGCAGCCAACTGCCTGTACGCGTATGTCCATGTGCCAGCTGCTCATAATAAATACTACATGTTGGTTGCTCGTGGACTGGTGGGATTTGGAGCAGGTAATTGTGTGTGTGCATGTGTATTTGTGTGTTAGGTCACATGTCTCCTCTATGCATCCCTTCTCAGTCTCACATCCCACAGTTCAGCAAACCCATCTTAGGAAGAGGCCTTTCGATCATGGTGCTTCTGTTACATACATGTGTTCTCTTTTATTTGCACCATTCCTCACCCTCACAGTACACATTGAATGCCAATCTAGTGTGGAGCCCTCTCTGGCTTCTTGAATGGATCATTTGCTGCTTTTGGCCTTTGCTTGCCCTGTTGTACTGGTTCCATGTTTTCTTGTCAATTATAATAAGCGTTTTTGCGTTAGAAGCAGTAAGTGATATTTTTTGACTGTTCTGTGGCCCCTAGAACAATCTCTATTATAAAATAAATACTTAATAAATTTTAAAAACTTTTATTATGTATATGTATGTGTCTGTGTGGAGATATGCAAGTAAGAGCAGTATCCTCAGAGGCCGGTGGATGGCACTGAATCCCCTGGAGCTGGAGTTCCAGGTGCTTGTGAGCTGTCTGAGGTGGGTGCTGAGAACAGAACTCAAGTGTGCTACAAGAGAGCAGTATAAAAGTTCAACCACTGAGCGCTCTCCAGCCAAAAATATTTTAGTTAAATTCTTAGTGGACTTTTTCTGTATTATGTATCTATGCATGCAGTTTGTGACACATTTCCTTATAACATAGCACTCTGCTGCTAATGTGCAGCTGTCTATTTTTTATAAGAAAATCTTGGTATTATAATGACATTTTGTATTATCTAAAACTATACACACACACACATATTAATTTCTGTTTTGTTTTGGTCTTTTGGGTTTTTTGAGACAGTTTCTCTGTGTAGCCTTGACTGTCCTGGACTCACTCTGTAGAACAGGCTAGCTTTGAACTCACAGAGATCCGCCTGCCTCTGCCTCCCCCAGTGCTGGGATTACAGGCGTGCACCACCATACCCCCTTCTAAAACTACATTTTTTTACTCCTATGGGTGACTCTTGTTTTGTTGGTGATGGTTGGTTTCTAGACAAAGTCTCACTAAATACCTTACACTGGCCTGGAACGGTCCAGGCTGGCTTCAGCCTCTCAGTTGCTGCGATGACAGCACCGTTTCTGTATCAGTGACAATACTGTGTTCTGTTAGCCATGTGTTTGTTCAATAAACACCTTACACACTTTGTACAGTGGCTTAGGGAAGGAAGGCACCATGACAAGTATTTCTTGCTCTTGTAAAGCCAGGAGAGATGAGGATAACAATTAAAGGGCGACTCCTTCACTCCGGGTTACTGTCTCTTTAGGAAATGTAGCTGTTGTTCGATCATACATTGCTGGTGCCACTTCCCTTCAGGAAAGAACAAGTGCCATGGCTAATACAAGCACATGCCAAGCCTTGGGCTTTATTCTGGGTCCAGGTAGGTGGTTTTTACTTGACTACTTAAATTTGAATACGGATAAACTTTGAGGTTCAAATTTAAAAATAATCCATGTGTGAAACTTTGTGGCTAAAGAAAAAAGGAGAGAAACTTTAAAAAATTGAGAAGGAGCTGAGAAAGTAAAAGGTGTTATTTAACATGAGTAAAGTATAAGTGATATATATGCATAAAAATATCTTAATGAAATATTTTGTATATTAACTAAAAATCATCATAATTGTAAAAAAAAAAAACAATCTCTCCAAACTGTATGTGTGTGTGTGTGTGTGTGTGTGTGTGAGTATGTGTGTGATTCTGCCTGAACCCAAGGTTTTGTGCATTCTAGGTAAGCACTGTACCATTGAGCCTTAGCAAAGAGGGCAGTAGTGTTTTGATTAGTATTTTCCTCAACACCAGAGCTCTTAGTTAAGCGCTGTTTGTCTCATTCTATAGATGAGGATTCCATGGTATAGAGAGTTTGCCCAGAATTAGCAAAGTAGGTGGGAATGTTTTTGTGGGAGCTTTCCACTCGGTCCTGTTTTAAGGACAGCATCTGCTTTTGTCCTCAGCTGAGGCTAGATCCTAGCTACTGAGAGGGCCCATGGGAGTCATCTCAACCAGGAGTGAAAACTAGAATTGTTCCATCCAAGTTTCACCACCGGTTTAATATTAAGTGATACTAAAAATGTATACTATAAGGACTATATACACAGTAATATTCAAAATATATGATTTGAACTTGTTTCGTTTTCTTTGTTGTGATGAAGTTGTTTAAAGTTCTAATTAATTGAGCCGAGATTGCTCAGTGGGGCTTTACCTTTGTGCTGTCTACCAAACCTGCTGGCCTGAGTTTGCTCCCTGTAGACCACATTGTGGAAGGACCCATCAGACTCTGGAACCTTGTTCTCTGGCCTTCACAGGTGCATCCTTGCAGATGCAAGCCCTCCCGCCCCACATGCATACACTAACACAAATCAATATCATTTTAAATGTATAATGTATGTACTAAATAAATTGTATGACTTAACTTTTATATAGTGTAGCTTTCTTTTTTCTTTTTTAGAAAAGTAAATACTGGGGTTTAGGTTGTAGCTCAGTGGTAAGGTAAATGCTTGACATGCCTAAGGCTCCAATCCCTAGCACTCCTCCTTCACCCACAAAAATGAAGACACTGCATGGGCGGTAAATATGATAAGAGCATAATATATCAATGAAATAGTATCATAAAGAATTATGTAAAATTAGTATATGCTAACAAAAAAACGGAAAAATCAAGAGATGATGCTGAATTGATTGAGTTATATAATGCATGCATCTATGTCTCTTTATTTTAATACTGTCTCCCTAAAAAGACTTCTTAGATGTTTTTCTATTCTATCCTGCACGAAATATTAATGCCACATATCTATCACGTATATGAACATATATGCATATTAATATACACACATACACACACCCATATATATGTCTGTGATTTATGTAAGAACAGAATAAATTGTCTTTACAACCAAGAGCCAAATTTCTCACTCCACTTGAGATCCCTTCATACACGTGGTTGCTCCATACAAAGCCTAGCAGTTCCGTGTAAGCATCTTTTACAGTTGTTACTTTTGCCTCCCATGTCAAACTTACTTGTACACATATTCCTTTATTAGTTTTCCAGACTTGCTTTGCACTCATTGGAGAAGAGGGTTTGACATGGGACACCATCAAGCTGCAGGTCAACATGTACACAGCACCAGTTTTACTTGGAGCCTTCCTGGGAATTCTAAACATTATTCTGATCCTTTTTATATTAAGGTAACTACAGAGAAGCGATAAGCTATGTTTGTAGATTCTAAAGTTAACAAGCTTTGTTATTACTGAAGAATAATTATTCCCATGAAGTCTTTGTGTGTGTGTAGTACTGGGTATTGAACTGTGGCCCTCATACATGCTACGCAAGCCCTTTACAGTACTCTGCATCCCTCAGGCCCTAGCTGCCTTTATACAGATTTGTTTTTATGTTTTAAGTGGTTGCCTACATATTTGAACCACATGCATGCTGTGCCTTCAGGAACCAGAAGGGGAAATTGGGTCCCTCGGAACTGGAGTTACACAGTTGGGTTTCAGGAACCAAATCTGGGTCCTCTGCAAGAGCAGCAAGTGCTCTTAGCTGCTGAAGCCCCTCTCCAGCCTTTTTAAATTTTTACTTTATTTTGATACAGGGTCCTGTAAGTTGCTTAAGTGGTCTGAGTACCAGCAGGCCTTCAATTTGCAATCTCCTGTCTTAGCCTCCAGATAGCTGAGACTCTAGGCCTGAGCTGTGAGGCCTGGCCCTATGAGTTCTTTCTGTTTTGCTGTGTGTAGATGGGTTTGTAGTTTTTGATCAGCTAAAACGTATTATACTGGCAACTGCAGTAATAAGACAGTTAGGAATGAACACACATTTGGAAGAGCTGTTCTTGATTTACTAACTGTAAGTTTCTAAATATGGAAATAGTATTTTATTTTTTTAAAACTAGTATTATTACTTTGTATTTCTTGTTTTTCCCTTAGTTCTTAGTAAAAAGTTTTATTTTGTAGCCAAGCCCTCTTAAAAATTTAGGTTCCTTAGCTTCAGAAGTGTTGGGGTTATGGTGTAGCCACCAAACCTAGCATTGTTATGTTAGATTTTTTTTTTTTTTGAGTGCTTCATTCAATTTTCCAAAACCATTTATGGCTAATTCTTTTTTGTTTGTTTGTTTGTTTGTTTGTTTTTGTTTTGTTTTGTTTTTATGGTGGGAAATTTTAAAAAATTATTAATTACAGTTTATTTACTTTGTATTCCAGCTTTGTAGTCCCCTCCCACTCCCTCCCTTCTTCCTTCATCTCCTCCCATGCTCCTCTCCAAGTCCACTGTTAGGGGAGGTCCTCCTCCCCTTCCCTCTGACCCTAGTCTAACAGGTCTAATCAGGACTGGCTGTTTTGTCTTCCTCTGTGGACTGGTAAGGCTGCTCCCCCCTCAGGGGGAGGTAATCAGAAAGCCAGCCACTGAGTTCATGTCAGAGACAGTCCCTGTTCCCCTTAGTAGGGAACCTACTTGGAGACTGAGCTGCCGTGGGCCACATCTGTACAGGGGTTCTAGGTTATCCCCATGCATGTCCTTGATTGGAGTATCAGTCTCAGAAAAGACCCCTGTGCCCAGATTTTTTATTCTATTTCTCTCCTTGTGGAGTTCCTGTCCCCTCCAGCTCTTTCTATCTCCCCCTTCTTTCATAAGAGTTGCTGCACTCTGCCCAAAGTTTGGCTATGAGTCTCTGTATCTGTTTTGATACCCTGCTGGGTAGAGTCTTTCAGAGGCCCTCTGTGGTAGGATTCTGCCCTGTTCCCTGTTTTCTCCCTCTTCCTATGTCTGACCCATTTGCCTTTCTGAGTGAGGATTGATCATCTTACCCAGGGTAGTTTCTCTGTGTGTGGACTCACTTTGTAGATCCGGCCTGCCTCTGTTTCCCTGAGAGCTGGGATTACAGGTGTGTGCCATGGTGCACAGCTCTATGGTTAATTTTTAAAACATTGAAAAATTCTAATATGTATATATTAGAAATTACCTAAAAATTTACCTAAATTACATATTAGGTAAATTATGTATGCTTCTGAATATATTTAAAAAAAACTTTTATATGATGCTATGTAGTCTTCCTGATCAGGAGAGTGGATTACTTGGTCCCAGGTGTTTGACAGCCTTGGCAACAGTGATGGGCCTTTTCTCACCGAAGTTCACACTGGAGATATATAGCTCATGGCTTTGCAGCTTACTTGTCCAGCATATACAAGGCCCTACGCTTCATGCCCAGTACTTAAAAAAAAAATAATGTTTAGGTTTATTGGCTATATTTATTAATAATTCATCAATAACTATTTTTCAGAAGCTAATAAGAGAAACTATCTGACTGTGGGTGGGAAAGACAGGGTTCTAATAATAAGCAAACTGTTTCTGAATGAAGGTCTTATTAATACTTGTGCTGTTCTTTCTAAGAGAGCATCGTGTGGATGACACGGGACGGCAGTGTAAGAATGTGAATTCTCAAGAAGGTATGTTAGCCTGTGTGGCACCACCGGAGTATCCTGACTCTGGTTGGTTGTTATTCACATGGCTTTTGCCTCTGAGTATGACACAGTGGGTGACTAGGGAATATTTTCTAAAGGTGAAAAAAAAATCTTCATTCATTTCTGTAAACAAACCTATACCTATTCGTTATGTGGTGTTTATAGTTGACAAGGTGAAAGCCATTGCTAAAGATCACTTTGCCTTCTTCAAAAAGCCGGAGTCCTAAAACCCTTGCCATGATTCTGGTAACCCTGGTTACCAGGGAGCCCTTTCTGCCTCAAGCAGTTTTTGTTGTTTTGAAACAGTGTCTCAGAATGTAGCTCACCTTGACTGTAGCTGACCTTGAAAATGCCATGTTTGAGAGCAAGGCCTGGAACTTGAGATTCTTCTGTCTCAGCCTCCTAAGCACTGAGGTCAGAGTTGTAGTACACCTGGCTTCCAGCAGTTCCCAGTACCTTAATCATAGCAGTAGGCATTCTGTTAGTTTATAAATGTGTATTTTCATGGAACGCACAGAGATGCACCTGCCTCTGCCTCCCTCAGTGCTGGGATTACAGGTGTGAGCCACCATGCCCTGCACAACAGACCATTTTTCAACCTCCATTTCTCCTGAGGTAGAAAGGTGGGCACCATTACAGTAACGTACACAAACTTCCTATGTCAGGGAAAAGCCATACTTGGCTTCTCCCTTGCCAACACACAGACAACATACAGGTCCATTCTTGTGCTATTTACGTCGTTCACACTGAATAACAACACGAGGAATGTGTGTGAGTTGATGTATGTGGCTGTGTATCTAGCTGTGAAGTTATGTCAGGAATGGTGTGTGAGAAGTGCTTTGCCCTCTAAAGCCACTGCCATGGAAAGATACAAATAATTTTATTTTTGAGCTTGGTCTTGTTATGTAGCTCAGGCTGGCCTTCAAATCATGATTCTACTGCCTAAGCCTCCCGAGTACAGGACTAACAGTGTATACCACCAACCCTAGCATTAATATAACTTTTAATTAATATATTCTTAGACAGTTTCATACTTGTACACAATACATAGGGACCAACCTCACTCCCACTCACCGCTGGTCTGCCTGCCACCCCTGCTAATCCCCTTCTTCCCACAAATCTAACATAACTTTTTTTAATAACAGGGAAATAAAATTAAACATTTAAGAATTATGTTTATTTTGTGTGTCTGACAAGTGCACTTTGGGAGTCCGCTCTTACCGCATAGGTCTAGGAGACCAAACTCCAGTTTGGTGGAAAGTACCCTTTGCCATTGAGCTATTTCACTGGTCCCAAAAGAAAAAGAGTTTTACTAATATTAATTTTATGTAGTGTTGAAATAAAGAAAAGCCATTGAAATGAGCCAAAGAACTGGGAACTTGTTTAATGAATTATTGATATAACGTAGTAAAAATCAGTGTAAGTTTAAAATTTAGGTAAGGTAGGAAAATCTGTATGTGGAACTGAAAGCAAATACATTTTACATGAAGTTTATAAAATTGCACTACTTTGGACTAGGAGACACCAACATAAGCTAACCAGTAAGTAATTCCTGTAGACAATGGGGACTCAGGTGTACTTTCTGGAAGAGTGGCCACTTTAAATACTTCTTGAAGACTACTTACTCTCCTAATCTTGTTACCTCTTTCCCTTTCCCTTCCTCTCTCTCCCTTCCCAGCCTCTTATTTATTTTGATAATAACAGCCCAGGCTGGCCTCAAACTTGCTCTAAATAATACAAAGCTCTAAATACCCGTCCCTGGTGCTGGGGTTACAGGTGGTTAACTTCATCTAGCTAAGAATTTCATATTGCTTTGCCATCATATGAAAAATTAGATATATAGGTAATGTCACTTTTCTCCTATTTATAGAAAATACAGATGAACTTCAGATCCCTGAAGGAAGTATTGACCAAGTTGCTGTTGTGGCTACCAATATTCTGTTTTTTGTGGTTTTGCTTATCTTTGCCATTTTTGAAACGTAAGTGTTATTCTGTATTTATTTAAATCAGATTGCTTACTAATCCATGTTTCTTAATGCAGCATTAATTATGCATATAGATTTTGTTTTTAAAAATGTATATAAGAGCACACCTTTAATTTCAGCACTTTGGAGGCAGAGGCAGGTGGATCTCCGAGTTTGAGGCCAACCTGGTCTTCAGAGTGAGTTTCAGGACAGCCAGAGCTACACAGTAAAACCCTGTCTGGAAAAACCAAAACCAACCAACCAACCAACCAAATTATATAAGGCAGGTTTTTGTGTGTGTGTGTGTGGGGGGGGGGCTTTTCGAGAAAGGGTTTCTCTTTTTGCTTTGGCTGTCCTGGACTTGCTTTGTAGACCAGGCTAGCCTTGAACTCACAGAGATCCATCTGCCTCTCTCTCCCTGAGTGCTGGGATTACAGGTGTGTGTCACCATGCCCAGCAGCACATTTTTCTTGAAAAAAATTTTGTTTTGTTCTGTTTTTCATTTCATTGGTTTTGGCTTTTTGAGACAGGATTTCTGTATGTAACCTGACTGTGCTGGAACTCTCAGTAACGACTAGACTGGCATTGAACTCATACAGATCTAACTGTCTCTGCCTCCCAAGTGCTGGAATTAAATGGGTGTGTTACCATGACCGATTTAAATAAAAGTGTATGTAGATTTAGTGTTATGATATAATTAACACTAAGTCTGGCAATATTAGCTATATTTAATCTTTGATCAAGAATTATAAAATTTATAACTGTAGGTTTCATTTATCCTTTTTAAAAGTCACATAACCCTTTCAAAAGAAAAAGGTACACACATATATATAACTAGATACTGTAAATAATCCATTTCAAATGTATTATATACACACATACACTCTCACACACACATACACCTTGCAAAAAGCCACTCTGTTTTTTCAAGTGGGGAGGGAAAGAATGTTTAAAATTTTCATAAGCTGGGCCTGGAGAGATGGCTCAGAGGTTAAGAGCACTGTCTGCTCTAACAAGGTTCCTGAGTTTAATTCCCAGCAACCACATGGTGGCTCAAAAACATCTATAATGAGATCTGGTGCCTTCTTCTGGCTTTCAGGTGTTACATGCAGAAAGAACATTGTATACATAGTAAATAAATAATTAAAAAAAATTTTCATAAGCTGTAATGTTACTATTTGATAACTTGGTTTATTTCCATACACCATGACATTTTTTGTGTAAGTACATATAGATGTGTTTGGTATATGCATTATAAAAATTATTCATCCACATGAAAATCTTAATTCATCTTAGGGAAAGTTTTTAATGCAAATACACACCATACAAAATTAAACATTAATCTTTTCCCCCTAATGTTGGGGGTTGAATTTAGGATCTCCACCATGCTAGGCAAATGCTTTACTACTGAGCTACACCCTCAACTTGCTTACTTTTTATTTTGAGACAAGTTCTTACTAAGTTGTACAGACTGGCCTTGAACTCACTCTGTAGCTCAGGTCAACCTTAAATTTGTGATCTTCCTGTCTCAGCCTCCTGTAATTGGGCTCACAGAATTGTAGAGCCTGGCCCAGTATTTTAACTGATTTAAAATAATATTTTAGATTTGTTTTTATTTTTTAACGTGTTATGAATGTTTTGCCTGTGTGCACACACCGAGTGTGTGCCTGATGCCAATGGAGGTGAGAAGAGAACATTCAGTCTCTTGAAACTGGAATCACAGATGGTAAAGAACGACAATGTGGTGCTGGGAATTGCACCTGGGTCCTCTTTGAGAGGAGCAAGTGCTCTTAACTTCTGAGACATCTCTCCAGAGCTTTTAACTGTTTGTGAAAAGTTGAACACAATGGCATCAAGAGTGCTCACAACTTTGTGAACCATAACAAGAACCTTACCATCATCCCAAACAAGCTGCACACCCTCTCACAGTTACTCCCTAGTCTTCCACCAGCTCCTGGTGACCTGTGGAAGAGACCTCAGACAAGTTATATGATGCAGTAGTTTACTTTTACATGTCTTATTTAACTGAGTGTGTGGCTTTCTAGGGTTCTTCTTGTCCTGGTGTATCAGACTTCCCTAACTTCCTATGGCAGGTGCCCACTTCACTGCCCATTCATCTGCTCATGATGCTTTGTCGGCACCAGGTAGCTATGTTGGTGATGCTGCTGTGCGAGTGTCTGCTTGAGTTCTGGCCTTCAGCTCTCGGGTTCTGACCTGGGAGGAATTGCTAGGACATGTTAACTTTTTAGCTCTCGGAGAAACCATGCATCTGTTTTCTAGGTCAGCTCATCTGCTTTCAGAGTTTAAGATCCTACTGTTCTTTTTAATAAGACATCTAATTGTTTATATATAAATAAAAGTCGTTCTGTTGTAAGCCAACAGAAGATGGTAGAATATAGGAATAGACTTGGAAAGGAAGGAGAAAGCCATATAAAGGCAAAGGTGTCTATAGGGAGGGAAAGAAACACATGAAATATTGATGGAAAGAAAGATGGTATAGGCTCTAATCATAATAGTAGGCACTGATAATGTGATAGTGTGGCATTGCTGGTAACACACACACTTTAATAATGAGGAAGAAGAGCCATGCGTGGTGGCACATGCCTGTAATCCCAACACTCTGGGAGGCAGAGGCAGGCGGATCTCTGTAAGAGGTAGCCTGGTCTACAAAGCGAGTCCACGAGAGCCAAGGCTACAGAGCAACCGTAGCTCAAAAAAAAAAAAAAAAAAAAAAGGAAGAAACATCTAGAAAGTACACTGCCAGCAAAACTGAAATAAATTTCTGATTTTGAAGAAGATGTTAACATAAAGTTTACCTTTGTAGAAGCTCTTTACAGGGGAACAGTGGTCCTTCTGTAGATGTAATGCATCAGAAAGAAGCCAGTCATCCAGTGTCCCACCCTTAAAGCTCCACCAGGAATAAATATCAATTTCATGTAACTACGTAACCATGAGTAGTTCCTGGGATGGTTGTAATTGATTTATGGTGTCTCCCCTTTACAAGCCTTCTGCAATGTAACTGTGTTCCTTTATAGTTTTTTTTTTTTTTTTTCCCAAGTCAGGGTTTCTCTGTGTAGGGTTGGCTGTTCTGGACTTGGTTTGTAGACCAGGCTGGCCCCAACTCACAGAGATCCACCTGCCTCTGCCTCCCTAAGTGCTGGGACTACAGGTGTGCACCAGCTTACCCAGCTGACAGCTGTTTGTTCTTAAAGGCATTATTGTTAATATTTATATTTAATTCTTACTAATGACGCCATTTAAATAAGCTTGGCCTTCTCTTCTTAGGATCCTCACTCCATTAACGATGGACATGTATGCCTGGACCCAGAAGCAGGCTGTGCTCTATGATGGAATAATCCTTGCTGTATTTGGAGTTGAGGCAGTTCTTGTTTTCATGGGGGTTAAATTACTTTCCAAAAAGTAAGTTATGTATTTTTATTTTATTTTAAATATTTTTATTGCAAAATAAGATACATAAAACAGTGCTAATGTAAATGAATGTGCTAGTAAAATAATTTTCAAGTTTTTTCTCATGTGTTATAGTTTTTTCCTTTTTTGCTAAGACAAGGTCTTAGTGCGTGCCCTTGGCTAGCCTGGAACTTACTTTATAGACCGATAGACCTGGCTATCATGGAATTCATAAGTCACTCTGCCTCTGCCTCCTGAGTGCAGGGATTAATGACATGTAGCACCACACCTGGCTCTATTATAGTTCTTGAAAGTTTGCAAAACAATGCAAACTTTACTGAGAGTGCATATTTTTATATTCTGTAGCATCACTTTGGTAAAGCAAAATGCCTTACCCAGTAAATAACTGTATACTAATCTGTTGTTATATATTGTTTTAATGTATATTACAATACAAACATGTATTTCATAAAACATTGTCTTACTAGATTGAAGATTGTTTGGAAAATTCTGGTTAGTAAAGCCTCTACACTGATAGCTGAGACAAGAGTACCATGATTCTCTGCATGCTACAGTTTGAGACCATGTCTCAAAGAACAAACTGAGTTTATGTAGATTTTTTGTGTGTGTTTTGCTTTTATGAGGCAGGATCTCATGTAACTTGGCGAGCCTAGAATTCCTGATCCTCCTGCCTCTACGTCCCACGTACTGGGATTATAGGCATACATATTTTAGAACTTCTAATTAGGTGTTTAGCTTATAAACACACCATATCATCACCATGGCAAATACAGTTAAAATCATTTCTCAAAGTTACTTGACCATGTAACTTTTTTTGTATGTGGTGCTAGGAGTTGAATGTAGGGCCTTAAATATGCTAGGCAAATGTTCTACTATATTCACAGCCCCTAGATAACATTTTAAGAATAATTTTATGAAAGTAACTATAAGGAACCCAGTGTGTGGGGAATATGGAAAGGTGTGTGTAAACTGAGTTCTGTCACGTAGTTTACTTTTCTCTCTGGGTGCTGGGAATTGACCCAGGGCATCATGTGTGCTGGGCGGGCACTCTCCCACTGAGTCCTCATCCCTGGCTGTCCTACAGGTTAACATAGGTTGTTAGCTGATGAACAGCTTTAATGGTTTAGTCTTAAAATATTGAAAACGAGTGTAGGCATATATAGGAATGGTTTTCTTCACACTAATCCTGAGTCTATTTCCCCTAATAGCTACTGACAAGCTCTACTTTCTATAGGAAAAGATAAGTACATTTATCTTCTAGAGTCCATCTGAAATGGAATCTGATCTGAAATCAACAGTTTATTAGCGTAGTCTACCCCCCCCCCCCCAGACAAGGTCTTACTATGTAGCTCAGGCTGGCCTTAACTTGCTCTCAGTCTTCCTACCTTGTATCTAGATGCTGGGGCTAAAAGTGTGCACTGCCATGACTGGTGCTGGCTGCTTTTAGTCGGGGGTTCAATTTATTATTACACTAATTGATAAATACAAAGAATTATGCAACATTTTACTTAACATTTTTTAGTTATGGTAATGGAATTGTGAATTTGTATTTCATTTAAAAATCAGTTTCTGTTTAACAGGGTTGGCGAGCGCGCTATTCTCCTGGGAGGACTCATGGTTGTGTGGGTCGGCTTCTTTATCTTGTTGCCCTGGGGAAATCAGTTTCCCAAAGTACAGTGGCAAGGTATGGTGATTTCAGTTCTGTAGCACTAGCCCCTGCCTTTTAGAAGTAGTGAATGATATTTTATCCTAACTTTATTTTTACAGATTTACACAACAGCTCAATCCCTAATACTACATTTGGGGAAATTATTCTTGATCTTTGGACTTCTCCAAGAGAAGATCACAGCGAACAGCCAGTTGGGTGCCCAATTGAGCAAGCCTGGTGCCTGGACACCCCGGTGATCCATGTGGCCCAGTTCCTGACAGCTGCTGTGCTAATTGGAACAGGCTACCCAGCCTGCAGTGTCATGTCCTATACGCTATACTCGAAAGTTCTAGGACCCAAGCCTCAGGTAACCCAGCACTGCAGCCCGGGACTGCGGCTCCCGCACTTCCTTTTGCTCTAGTTCTGTTCCACAGGCTGGATTAGCAGACTTTGGGGAAGGCATGGATTTTTAGGCTCAGGAACCAGAGCTCACTCATATCCCGTGAGGGCCCAACCTGAGCTTTAGGTTCTACCTCTCCCTCCATTACCCAAAGAAGTTGTAATGTGTTTGCAACTTTTATCTGGTGAAATATAACATTGCTAAATCAGAACTCACATGTCCTGAATTCAATAACTATGAGCTCAAAATAACACTGAAAAAAATCTCTGAACTTTAAATCTCTAAAATTCATTATTAAAGTAGACCAAAGAAAACCAAAATTGGCAGCCAAATTTGGATGTAGGCAGTCACAAATGCAAACACAATAGTCTTAAATGTTTTTGGCAGCCCTGTCTTTTTTCTTTTGTGTGTTGTGCTGGAGATTAAACCCAGGGTCTTGAGCTACAACTGTTGTGCTACACCAAGACCTACCTATATGCATTTTAAAGTTTAACTGTTTGCTTTATAATGTTAGGATTGAATTCAAGGCTTTGCATATGCAGGATAGTGCTCTGCCACTGAGGTAAAGCCCTGGCCCCAAATTAATTTTTAAGTGAGAATGTCAGGGGCTAAGCTGGGTATGTTTATACACATCTCAGCACCCAGGAGGCTGAGGCAGGAAAATCACTGCAAGTTCAAGGCCAGCCTGGTTTAGATAGTTTGGTCTAGGACAGCCAGGGTGAGACTCACTCTCAAAAATAAACACAAAGACAAACAAAAACATTCATAGGCTGGAAGGGCAACTCATTGGTACAGCCTTTATCCTGGAATGCCTGGCACCCTAAGTTTGATCCCTAGCACATGTGCATACACACTCATACACCAAGTAATTTCTGTATTCATTATATAAAATTAAAAATCCAGAGACGAACTGTGAATAACAGTTTCAGAGAGGTCATAACTATTAATTTAATAAAATCAGACTCCATTTCCAGTCTGTTCTCTGTGACTAAGAAAATGGGTATATGTACTTAAGGCAGCTATCATGGATTTTTTTAAAGATATACTTTCAATGAGATGCCATCACATCATAGATCTGGCATCACTTATTCATAATCAGATTATTGTTTACTTATTTTCTGTATGTTTCTAACTCTTTTTAATGGCAGTTATTTAAATGGCTACAAATTATCCTACTCTTTAAAAATTAAACTGAGCCTATCATAGTACATGCTTATAATCTCAGCATTTCTGAGGCAGAGACAGGCTCTCAAATTTGAGGGCAGCTAATCCTACTTGGTGACTCTTAGGCAAACCTAGACTCTATATAAAGATCATCTTTAAAAAGCAAATCAAGGGGATGGAAACAGTTCAGTAGTCAAGAATGCTTATATTCTTCCAGAGATTTGGAGTTCAGGTCCCAGCAGCCACATCAAGATGCTTATGTGACCTGTGATTCTAGCTGCAAGGGATTTAATGTCTTCTTCACCCCTCCCCCCACAATTATGTCTTTAATACCAGCATTTCCTGGCTCAGAAACTCAGTAATGTAGTCTAGGCTGCTTGGCTATCTGAACACACACACACACACACACACACACACACACACACACACACACCTCATACAATGTATTTTGATTATTGACCCTATTCTCTCCTTCCAACCTAGATCCAACTCCACATGCTCACCTTTTTAATCTGTTTTGGGGATTGAATTCAGGTATTTGAACTTACAAGGCAAGTGCTACCAATTCATCGAAACATCTCTCCAGCCCAGATCAGTTTTTTGAAATAGGGTTTTGTCATACAGCCTGAACCTGTGATCCTGCTGCCTCTACTTTCCATGTGATAGTTTACAGGCCTATAACGCTATACCATTTATTATTTGCTGTATTTAGAGATTTCAAAGGGGGAGAGAAGGTGATTGCTTATAAATTTGTAATAGCACTGTTTTTATGTTAAAATAGCTAAACCTGAATTAATCTGTTGTCCTCTCTCCCACTGTCTACAGGGTATATACATGGGCTGGTTAACCACTTCTGGAAGTGCAGCACGGATTCTTGGGCCTGTGTTCATCAGCCATGTGTACACTTACTTGGGCCCACGATGGGCATTTAGCCTTGTGTGTGGAATAGTAGTGCTAACCATCTTGCTAATGGGAGCCGTTTACAGAAGACTCATTGCCTTTTCTGTCAGATATGGGTGGATCCAGGAGTAAGCTCACAGTCTCTGCTGGATGCCTGCTGCCTACCATCTCCAACTCAACCTTGAGTAACTTAACTATGAACTGTAGGATGTGTGAGAACATTCTGGGTCATAATCTCCTTATCAAAAGTGAACTATTTTTCATATCATACCTTACTGGAGTTCCATGAACTCATCAGTGAATGGATAATCATTTATAGGTATGAAACTACACTCAGTGTAAACTGTAGAGCTCTCTCTAAAACAATGGGACTATGCAAGTACAGCTGGGGTAAAATTCTGTATTAATCCGCCAGAACAAAATACTTTTTTAAAACTAAATTAAAATACAAGTAATTTCATGAAAGTGTTTTAAAAATAAAAATGCAGGGGTTGGGGATTTAGCTCAGTGGTAGAGTGCTTGCCTAGCAAGTGCAAGGCCCTGGGTTCGGTCTTCAGCTCTAGAAAAAAAAAAAATAGTGACTAAAAATAAAAATGCATTATTGTTAAGTTTCTTAGTAAAATTAAAACTGAGCCTTAAATTCTTTTAGCCTACTACAACCACATTAGGTGCCCTGGTTGTAATTTGAATATTGCACCTTTGTCTATTTTAATTTAGAATCTGATTCTAAATTAACCTGTAAGAAAAATTCTAATATCTGAGGAGTAAAAAAGACAAATACTCAACTTAGCTTTTATTACCGTAGAAGGCTACCTTCTTTCAAGTGTTGGTAAATTCACATTAGAAACATAAGTTAAATGTGTTTTAATATGGTATTAATCGCAAAGGATTCTTAAAATGATTGCTATTTTCCAAGCCCTTTAAACTCTAGTGCACACTAACCCATTAGTGGCCCTTGTCAGTAATGACAGATAGGAACAGCTGTTTCCAGCCTGCCTGCAAACCCATTCACAGCAGCAGACCTGCAATTGGACTTTGGATGCTATGACAGTCTTCTCTGATCAGCTCAGGATTTGAGACTGAATGGCCTAAGGGGACTCATGAAACTTCTAGTTTCTACCTCTGTGTGAATCAAGCACTGGTATGTGTATAGGAATCAGAAGTGTTTTCCCATTCTGTTGCCATGGTTTCAGATCTGAGCGTGAACATATTCTCCACTTTGTATCATTTAGTCTGCGGAAGCCATCAGCACTAAGTGATAGCAGCATTTTGCTTCAGTCAGTTTTTGTCAGTCCTGATGTCCTCTTACCTGCTGTTCTGTTCTTCCTCTTTTCCTGTTGGGTTACTTCTTACCTTAAATTCCACCTTTGTGTGGTGTGCCCAGAAACAAAGCTCCCTGTGTTCCTGTGAAACAGTTTCTCACAGCAAGCTTAGGGTTGAAGGTAAGATCCTGCTTCCTGATATATGCCAATGAATGTATACAAGTCACATATCTTCAGAGGCTACCACATGACTGCTGTACTTTCTCCAAACAGGAAAACTGCTCCAGAAAGGTATACTAGCAGTTACTTAACTGTGAGGAATTATTTGCACCAGTGACTCAGATTTGCAGAAATATTTGGGAAAAAAAAAAAAACCCTTTAAGATCACTGAATGAAGCTTTTTTCTGAGCATGCCATGTTCACAGCAAGAACATAAGTTTCCCAGCCCTAGAAGTGTAACACTGTGATTCAGATGACTACAACATGGCAAAAGTGACTGCACCTTTTTTACTGAGGCACTCACTGCCTGGGAGATTAGACTTCACACCTCACTGAGGGAAGCGACAAGTTTAGGGAAAGAGCTAGGAGTCTAAAATTAGCACAAGGTAAATCTTGAATAAAACAAAGTGAGTGTGAATTGAAAGAAACCTTAAGGTATGAAAACTGTTATGAGTGTATTTTGAAGGTATTTTTGAAAACCCAGAAAAGGGTTATTTCCTCATTTTTAATGAACTGTTACTTCATAAGGCATCTCTAGCCATTATGCTTCTCTATTTAAAACAAGCTCATTTCTTGTATTAAAGTGAAATAAACTTGTAAATTTTAATTTGATGAAGATAAACTACTGTTTGTATCTAAGACTAGCTTATTTTGAGAGAAAATTCTGGCTACCATTTACTATTGAAGACTTGTAACTTTGTTACACTGTGTTTGATAAAGCTAGACTGTAAGGATTTGGATCTATCACACTTTCAGTACATGAGAGGACCTGAATACATGAATATCCTCATGTACTTGAGAATTGAGCAGACACTAAGTAGCTGGTACAGAGTTATGGTTGGCTGTGGGAAGGGTAATAAAGACAAGTATAGAGACCAGGAGCCCAACCTGATGAGAAGCATTAGGAAATTTCTCTAAGGATTTGCCAGGACATGGTGTAAGAGAATTACTGAACTGGGAGGATGTGGGACAAATGCACTTCAGGCAGAAGGCAGGGCTTGCAAACTACCTAGAGGCAAGACATTACAGTTTCTCAGAGCTCAAATCAGGTCCAAAGTGGCTGGAGTACAGTGACTGAAAAGTCCTATTCAACTTAGATAACTTGTTAAATTCAAGGTCCCAAATATAAAGAAAATATGAACAGTATATATAAGTACATTTCCAAATGACCATAATAGGTCAAATCTCAATATAGGTGACATGATAAACCTCAGAATGTATCTAACACTTGATTTGATTCAGACTTCAAGTTTCAATGTGGTTCAGAGGTTTAGACTGCTTACTGCTCTTATAAAGACTCAGAAGGCTCAGACCCAGGATTATTGAATAATGGTATTAGTAGGGGCCTTTTCTTTTATTCATTTTACATCCCAGTAGGAGGGGTTCCAGCTCCCAAATAACTGACATGGTGACCTCTTACATTGTTAACACTTTAGAGCAGTAAGCTGGACAGATACCAATCTAACCCATCTACACTGGTCTGGACTACTTCCCAGCTTTCTTCTGTTTCCTATTCTCCCTTAGCAACTAGTTGCTTGCTCTGTCTCTTGCCCAGTGGTTAACTTTATTTAATCCTGTTTATGGTACTCAAGCAGAAAGCTCTTGAATTAAAGGTGTGCCAGGGCAGAGCCATACCACAACTACAAACAGGTGTTTCCAGTAAACAATACAATCCCAGGTTCATTGTGTGATCAAATATCCTGCAACACAGGTTATCTGATGCCTTCTTCTGACCTCAGTGGGCAAAATAAGGTTTCTTACTAGGAGCTGCTAACCAAGTTCTTCCCTCTTGACCAGTCCCATTCTAGCAAGGCAAGGGAGCATGTGCAGGTTAATCTCCTCACTCTTGCCCAAATGGTTGTTTTGTCTGAGTGCCTAGCAGCCAGTCTCTTTATCACCCTTTTAGGTCCCATGTCTGCCCAGGATACTCTTCTCTCCTGGGCAGTGCAGGAACGCACAGCAAAAACAAGTGAGGGGATTTGGGAAAGACAGCATGTGAGTTAAGCTAATAAAAGCCCAGTTTCAAAAGGGTTGGGGATGTACTCTTCAATAGCAATTTGAGAATTTATAGTAACCTATCTTAAAACAAATATTTAACCAAATAAAACAAAAGTTAAGATAAACTTATCAGTTTATTTTATAAAATATTTGCAGAAACGTTTTATCAGACACAAGTGCTATAAAAATAAATATAAAATATACATTTACAAAATGCTTATACATACATTATTTACATATTCAAAACTGCAAAACTATATAGCATATTTTGTTCATGATTCTTAATCTTATTAGTACAGAAAACAAAACGCACACAACTTAGTTCAAAACAGGAACACAGAAAGTTTGAAGGATTATATTATTTAGAGCAAAATTAGATGGCCTACTTTATTTTATGACCACTATATTTGGTAACTAAAATTTTGTTTTCTTAGCATATTTTTTTTAATGGTATAGATTAAAATTCTGTTTAAAGAAAGGCTTTCTGAAGTTAGAGTAGATTAAAAAGAAATCACTTGAAAGCCAACGAAAAAGTCATTTATTAAATACAGACATCTTAAAGGACTTTAGGAGCTGAATTAGAGAACATCAGAAGGATGGAAGAAAGACATTGTAATTTCTGTTTGATGTATTCTGGTAATTTTTCATTTTCTCCATACCTGAATGAAGCAGAAAAACAAACAAACTTTATTACTTAGACCTTTATATTCAAAAGCACATATCTCAAAACTTTATTACTTAGACCTTTATATTCAAAAGCACATATCTCAGTAATCTTTAATGATAAGAGGTACCTCAAGAAAACAATACACTTATTAGGAATCCAAAATCAACTGAGGCAAACCCAATTTGTTTCTTTCAAAAACCAAACGCTTTTGTGTGATAGGTGTGTACTAGCTAGTAATTTTTTCTTTACAAACATTTTTGATCTGTCATTAGTTGAATACCCAGAGACAGCACTTGTGTATCTACTAGGATTAGTGCTTTGCCTTAAAAAATGTCTACCGGTGCCGGACTGTACAACTAACTCAGTTACAGAGGGCTTGCAAAGCATTCTCAAGGCCTGAGGTTCAATGCCTAGTATAAGACAAAAACAAAACAATAACAACAAAAATAAAATAACCCACAAGTTTTTAACATGTTTGTTTAAAAGCTGGGATACAAATTTTATTTGGGGAAAAATAACCAAGATTGGTTAACTTGGACTTTTTTGAGACAGGGACTCATATAACCCAGGTTGCTTGGCTATGTGGCCAAGGGTGATCTTGAACTCCTGTTCATGGTATGTGCACCACCACATCCAGCCAAAGGTCAATGTTCAATGTCTTCTTCAATCACTTTCTACCTTTTATTTTCAGACAGGGCTTCTCAATGAAACTGGAGCTCACTTATTTGACTAGATTGGGTGACCAGTGAGCCAAGGATCTTCTTTTCTCCAGCTCCCAGTACTTGTGTTATGGGTGCACACTGCCTTGTTTTTCATGGGTGCCTTACAACTCATGTCCCCCTGCTTGCAAAACACATACTTAAGCTACCAAGTCATCTTTCCAGTCTTCCATGTCCTTTTTCTGTTTGTTTTTTTGAGACAGTCTGTGTAGCCGCTTAGCTGGCCTTGATGTCATTATGTAGATCAAGTTGCTTTGAATTCACAGAACTCTACCTACCTCTGCCTCCCAAGTGCTGGAATTATAAGGGTATAACACCACACCTGGCCCCACCATGTTCTATTTTTGATGTTTTTGTTTGTTTGTTTTTCAAAGACAGGGTTTCTCTGGGTAGCATTGGCTGTCCTGGTCTTGCTTTGTAGACCAGGCTGGCCTCAAACTCACAAGAGATCTGCCTGCCTGTGGCCCCCTGAGTGCTGGGATTACAGGCATATGCCACTGTACCCTTTTAAGTAAATAATTTATACATATATATATAAAGAGTCAACCCAATTAGGTCACTGAATAAAAGGGTTACAAAGAAATCCTACCACTTGAGTTGATTATGGGTATATTATTCTTATAGGTAATCATAACATCAATATTAATGACTATGAACAGTTAAAAATAATAAAGAATGAAAGTAAATTTATTAAAATATTAAGTTTATTAAATCACTTATTTCAAAGCACAGAGAGAGCAAAATGAGAGCAAGCATAGATCGCACTCAACTTACCTAGTTGTCTGACCATCTGGTGATGTGTAACTGATGGAAGATACTCCTGCTTGGACAACCAACTGTGACCCATCATTAAACTGAACCCATACAGCTCCGCTAGTTAGCTAGAAAAGACAAGCAGCATAGAAAATGATTACACAGAAGATAAACTAAGGTTTTTAAGGGCTTACTTAAAAAGTGTTCTTTATTCCTGAGGTTCTTTATTCCAGCACTCAGGGAGGCAGAGGCAAGTGGATCTCTGGCAGAGGCCAGCCCAGTCTACAAAGACAGCCAAGGCTACACAGAAAAACCCTATCTCAAAAACAAAACAAACAAAAAAAGTGTTCCTTACAGTTTTGTTTTATTCATTCATTTAGTGTTTGGGGTCCGTTTCCCATGGAGTGTCAGTATAGTACTAGCTAGCTTTGAACTCACAGAGATCTACCTGCCCCTGCCTTAAGAGTTCTGGGATTAAAGACACACACATCATAGTTCATTATTTTATTTTTCATGTGTATGGGTTTTTTATTTTTTATTTTTCCTGTATATTATGTTTCTGTACAACTTGCTCACAATACCTGAAGAGGCCAGAAGAGGGCATCAGATCCCCTAGGACTGGAGTAACAGTTGTGAGCTGCCATTTAGAAACAAAGGGTCTTCTGCAAGAGCACCAAGTGCTCTTAATCATGGACCTATCTCTCTAGCTCCACATTTCATAAAGACAGGGTCTCACTCACTACACAGGCCATACTGGCATGGACTTCTCTCCTGCTTCTGCCTCCTAAATAACATTATTCTAGGTCTGGGTGATCACCCGCAGACCTATATACTCTACCTATATACACTTAAATTAATTGTTTCCAGTAACTAAAAACTTAGTTTTATAATGACCTTAGCATTGAAAATATTCATGTCTTTTTCCCTCTTCAAATCATCTCTAGTCACTAAGGCATCATAATATTAAAATGACTCTCAATAAATCTGGTTTCTTGCAAATATCCTTTGATTTATTTAAATAGGATTTTTCCTCCCATATAGCATTTCTCCCCAAGACAAGACTGAAGAAATGACAAAAGCTCCCCTGTGTTATCTCTTAGCCACTGAAACTTATCTTTTTGCTATTGCAAATGGAAAGGAATGTGGAAAAGGTGAGAAAGATCCTGGCCAACAGACTCTGTATTTTTACCAGATTACAATTACACATACTGCAGGACTATGCAAATCAATCCACCATAAAGAACTGTAATTTTACTTTAAAAAGGGTAGCTAGCTTCAGAGACTAAGACATCAACTAAGGAACGTGCATGGTCTGGACCTAGGCCCCTGCACACATGTAGCACACAGGTGGCTTGGTCTTCATATGGGGTGCCTGACCTGCTTTTGGATTACTTGTTCCTGGCAGCACTACCTTCCCTGTCCTTAGGGAATGAAGATATGCTCAGTCGTGATGTGACTTGATGTGCTGGGGATGTGGGGAGAAGGGTTCCCCTTTTCTGGGTTGAAAGGAAGAGGGAAGGGAGAAGAGGGGGAGGGCCTAGGAGAAAGTTAGGGAGGAGGTACCCTCAGGATGTAAACAAACCTACCATCAATTTTACCAGGTAACTCAGGATGTAAAGTAAACAAACCAATACAAAATCTAGATAAATGAATAAATACATAAAAGGCATCAGTTTTACGAGGTTACTTTAGGGGATAAACTTGACTATGAACATATGTGAGAAACAGGGACACAGGTGGTCCTCAACAAATGTCACCAAGTACCATGTAAAGTAAAATTACACCTGCCAAAGCCTCCACACTTCAAACCTTCTGAGAACACACACAACATAAAAGAACATACATGTACATAAAACTATAAACTGAAATTTATGTTGACTTAGTTTCTACCACTTGACATCCTTCTCTATTCTGCACAACCCTTATTATGACATCATCCACACTTCATATCAACATCAGAAGTTTTCTGATATATACCACTAAAAAAAAAAAAAGCCAAAACTTTTAAAAATAGAAATATAACCAATGTAAAAAAATATATATTTTAAAAACTTCCTGGAAAAGTTGTTAAAATGATTTATATTACTGGGTAATAATCAAGAGGTTCATGGTGAGGAAATTACTTTCTCAGAAATGTCTCACCTGTGTGGCCCAACCAACATTTTTCACAAAAACAGATTTCAAAAGCTGGGATGATTTAGGAAGACTTGAAGAAGAGAAGCTTGTTCCTGTAGCAGTGGCTGTGTGGCCAAGTCCTTCAACTGTCACAGTCTACAAACAGTAAGGGAGGGAAGAAATTCCTTAGCACATTCATAAGCTGCTTTAGTAAAAGTACAAGATCACTTCATGATTTTAAGTTTTCTCAAAACAAAAATTCTAATATTAAAATACCAAGCACATTATTCAAAATAAAAATTAAAAGGAAGGCCAAATCATGCTTTCTGTTTTTATTTCAGTAAATTTCTTTCCTCTTCTTTCCCCTTAAGCTATTCTTCATAGCTAAAGTCAGAGAATGTATATATGTTTGAGAACACATATACACGTTTGTTTCTTATGCACTGTATTCTTGTTCATTTATTAGTCTTCATAGTTATGACAGTTCACTGAAGAAATCTATTTACTGTGAGCCAGGAGGCAGCTGATAGCATGTGCAAAGACCTTGGCTTATTCAAGCAGACATGTGGCAAAGCAGTTCAGTGAGGCTGAGACAGTAAGTGATATTTTATTTTTCTGGGTGGTGCTGGAATCTAACCTATGGATCTACACATCTTAAGCATGTACTTTACAACTGACCTATACCCCCAACCCACAATTTTACTTTATATAAGGGTACCAGCCCTCACTGCAGGGTCTAAAGCATGTGGTACATATTTACTTACAGAAGGATTGAATACTGGTGCCTGTGTTGGAAAAGCCGCACTATTCATGCTCAATCTACTAGATGCTGCTTGCTCTCCTTTCGAGCAGCTTGGCTCCACAGGTGGTGATAAGGCTTTAGGTGAACTAGTATTACCAGGTTTTCTGAAGAAAAGAGAAATGTCCTCATACAGTTCTCCAAAGCTTTTCAATATACAGACAACTAAAGTTTCGTAGATTTTTTTGTGTTTTTGACACAAGATCTCACTATGTAGATCAGACTAGCCTTGAACTCAAGAGATCTACTTGGCTCTGCCACTCCAATATTGAAATTAAATGTGTGCCACCATGCCTAGCTATTGAAGTTTTTAAATTTAAATTTTATTTATTATGTATGTCTGGGTGAATGGCATGGGTCTATGTGTCTGGAGGTCAGAAAATGAATTTTGGACAAGTTCTCTCCTTTAATCTTTATGGAGATTTCTGGAATCAATTTTAGGTTGTTAAGCTTGTGCAGCAAGCAACTTTTACCCAACAAGCCATCTCACTGGCCCTCGTAGCTGTTTTGAGATATAATGGCCTCAAATTCCTCCTGCCTCTACCTTGTAGGAGCCAGGGTTATGGAGGGTGTGTGTGTCACCATGGTACAACTCTACTGACAATGAAGTGACCAAAATGAGTCTTAAACATTTGGCTCTAGTTAGGAATTTCAATCTTTTACCTTCCTACAATGATTGGGAAGAATGAAGAGCTCCTGCTTCTCCTTTCCTCTTCTGAGATTACAGATTCCAGTGCCAAGCAAACACGGTGACCCTATTACAGAAAAGACTTGTCTTCTGTCAACAGTTCACTGCTTTACCATGTGACTGTTGTTAAATGGATGAAAAACAAGTACATACCTCGTTAGCATGGTCCACATATATTTTTATTTCCTCTTTCAAGGTGGTAATTTCATTTTCATTTTTTAAAGTATAAGATTTCCCAGATTTTTCAATCACATGAATTAAATCTTCTGTTTTATGTATTTTGGCTCCTGAAAATTAAGTAGAAAACCATTCTTTTCAATTCATTATTATACTAGTATACAATGGCTGACAGAAAGGTTATTTACATTCATTTATTGATCAATCATAAAACAGTACTCAAAGTAGTCAATAAAAACTTTGCATCATTTCCCTTTTTGGCATGTATCTGATCTGACTCTACATAAACGCATTGTGCTCATAAAGAATAGCAGGGGACAGCTGTACTCATGTGCTGTGATGTGTACATGGAAACCTTCATGGAGAGGAACAATTAAAGCCAAATCATTTCTACAGAATGTTCAAAGAGAGTATCTGTTAAACCCAATCTTTTTGCTACATTTAAGCTGTCAAAACTTGCATGTGTCTATCTGGGTTTCAAGTAAAATAAAGGATATTGTTTTTCATGCAGTGTTTATGCCACAAATGGATAAAGAGCTAAGCAAAGATCAGGACTGGCTTGCACACATCATAGACTAGCTGCTGGGTTGCAACAGTAGCTCTGGATCACATGCTGTATACTCACCATCGTAAAACCAGACCTCGAAATCAGCACCAGGAGAATTCTCCATCAAAACACATTTAGCATATCTTGTAAAATAAGTGATTTTGGGAGTTTTAGACCTTACAAGCTGAATAAATCTGGAAGCATACTGATATTTCCGCCAGTACTTTTCTAAAGAAGAAAAATATAGCTAAAATTAAGGAAGAAAGAGTTGACATACATACAGTTGTATCTATGTTCTAATTTCTGGACAGGTTTTCTTGTTTCTCAAACTTCAACCAAAATGTGCTATTCAGTAGTTATTTCTCAAATTCATAGATTCTAGGAGTTTAAGCAGGTGACAGAGTCAATTACCAACGATTATAAATCATTTTATCTATCACTGCAATGATTTTAAATGTGGAAAACTAGATACTTCATATTGGAATGTTTGATGATTCTAGATAGACCAATAACTAAGCAAGAGCATAGGCTATAGTTCTGATGTTACTAATCCTTCAGAGCTAGTTTTTACAGTTTACAGTAGCACAGCATAGGAATAGCAAATAATATACAAAAGATCTTACCAGACACTAAGTACATGAATTTGAGTGGCAGCCTGACTGAAGCCAAGATAGTTACAACTTACTAGAGACATATATATAAAATTATGTATAATTTTAAACCTATAATCTCAATCTATCTCCTGATAATGTACATACCTGGTAAATTGTCAAAGCTGTATCTACTGATATTGTCATTTGGCAAGGGTGGTCTATCAGCAAGAAGAAAGCCTCTTCCATCATTTGGGTAATAAACAGTGATCTGATTACAAAACAATTAAAACCTTTAATTATATGACATTAAATATTACTCTTTGTTACCAAAAAGTACACAGATTCTATGTTAAACATTAATTTAAACACTAATTTTAAGGAAACTATTGAAATAGTTGCTGAACATAATAAAGTATTTTAACCTAAAATTTTAATTTTATTACCACTTACAATTATTTTTTTTTTTTTAGCAGTGAATTCCAAAAACACAAAATATTGTATTGTAAAGAGAACTGAATACCAAATGTTTAAAGCCACACCTGAAATTTTAAGTTAGTAAAATTAGTACTCTACCATAGTCCCGTCACTAGATATCTGAAGAACTTCTTTCACGAGTCCTTCAGATGCACACTCTTTGAGAAGTTCCACACACACCTCCTCTGAATCAAGGATGCTCACCTACAAGAACAAAAACATCAATAAAATGTTGTTTTGTAGAACATTTCTGGCACATAATACTAAGAGGGAAAAGTACTCAACCATAGCAGAAATAACAAAATCCAAGTGCTGCTTCACTATGGCAGTCTAGTACAGAGATGTACCTGGGTGCAGCTGTGAGGCAGAAGGCACAAAGGTGAGAATGTGTAATCAAGTGTGAAATGCTAACCAATGAGCAAAAAGCAAGCAGAAGGTGGGGTGGAGAACAAGGACCTTGAAGACAATAGGAGCCAAGCAAAGGCAAGACTGTATGACATGAGAAACAAAGAACACATAGGACTGAGATGCAATTGCAAATTATTCCATCTTCACATATGTTCATTAAATTCTTAACAAAGACATACATACTGCTTTTAGTTTTTTGAAGCTGTATTTCCTAGCTTATTTTTGACTTGAAAAATAAAATTAAATGTAGAAATTGAAGCTAAACCAAAGGACTAATATTAAATGTCAATACCAGCTGTAAGTATAAATAAAGTATTTAACTGTCTTTCAAATATTAATAATTTAGGGCCTGGAGAGGTGGCTCAATGGTTAAGAGCACTTGTTCCTCTTGCAGAGGCTCTTGGTTCATTTCCCAGAACCAACATTGTGGGCTCATAGTTGACTGAGCACCAGGCAGGTAGGTAGTGCCTTACATACATGTGGGTAAAACACGCAGAAACACAAAATCAAAATAAATACATTAAAAACATCAGTAACTTAAAAATTTCATACTTATCAGAATCAACGTGCCATTCTTATAAAGCTAGAATAGAGGGAGCACCAAGGACAGTGGTATAAAACTGCAATCACAGAGTTCATGAGGCAGGGGCATAAGGATCAAAAGTCCAAGGCCATCCTGGATTACCTACTAGAAACTTTGCCTTAAACACAAACAAAACTCAAATACTACTTTTCTCTAAACCAGAGGGAAACAAATGCTATTTTTCCATGAATATTCTATTTTCCCCCTCAAGTTAGGTCTATATAATAGTTCAAATTCCAGAGATATAATAAAATCCAAAAAGATCATACTCAAAAATTGCATTCCAAAGAAAACATCAAATAGTAACTTAGAAAAATGACATACCACAGCCTTTTTGGTTTTCTGTCTGATCGGTTTTAATCTGTGAGCAATCAAAGGAGATGTGATGCTTCGTAAGGTAGGTTTTTGGTGCCCCAGTGCTGACTCCATGCTCCCATTCTTGCTTTGTTCAGAACGATGTACAGCTGGCTCCTGTGGCATGAGCTCAGGCTTGCTGTGGTGTGCAGTCGTGTACTTCATTACAGGATGCACATCAGAAGAAGCACCGGCATTCTGGCTGGCTCTCATGTCAGTCCAGGCATTTCTTACTGTGTCCTGAAGATCTGGAAAGCCCTGGAGATCCTTGTTTGGGCTGATGGGGTTGTACTCATTACTTTCTCCTAACTGAGCTAAAATATACATTAAAAAGCAGTTTAGTAAACTATAGCACAATGTCAAGAGTATAATAGTTTTTTTTTGGAGGGGGTACTGGGGGTAAAGACAGGGTCTTCTATGTAACCCTGGCTGTTCTGGAACTCAAGAGATGGGCTTGCCTCCACCTCCCAGATGCTGGGATTAAAGGCATGTGTTCCATGCCTAGCCTTTTTTTTTTTTTTAAATAAAGATGCTATTAAGAAAACGAGCTCTTAAATAAGGACAAAAAGTAGTTAAAAGAACTTTTTTTTGGTTTTTTGAGGCAGGGTTTCTCTATGTAGCCTTGGCTGTCTTAGACTTGGCTGACCAGGCCTCACTTTGTAGACGAGGCTGGCCTCCAATTTCAGTGATCCGCCAGCCTCTGCCTCCCTCAGTGCTGGAATTACAGGCATGAGCCATCATGAACATTTAAAGCCAGATTGAAAAAAAAAAACAAACAAAAAAACCTTTTAGTATTTTTTATGGCTACAAACCTATACTAATATAAAATCAATTTTCAATAAAAGCAAAACCAAGTTACTCATTCTAAGGTAAATCAGTGTTCATCAAGTGGATCTGACAAGAATCAACGTTACAGAAGGAAAAGGACATAGCTCTTTTTTAAGCCAAGGATTGTCTATCCCAATTCCATTTAAAAAATAACCAAAACCACTATCTTCAGCATCCCTAATAATCAGTATTACAAATGTATTTGCACCTACATATTTAAAATTTCTCCTACTGAATTTTATACATTCATATTTCACATGGTTTAGTGTTCAGTTTTTAAAGTTTTGTTCATTTTTATGTTTGCATTAGTATATGTATGTACACTATATATATGTAGTGCCCAACTTGGCATCAGATTTAGATGCTGTGAGCCACCTGTTGTGGGTACTGGGAACTGAACTTTGATCTTCTGGGAAGAACAGCAAGTGCTCTTAACCACTGAGCCATTTTTCTAGCTGCTAGAGTTCACATTAAAAAAAAGGTTTTAAATAAATAATTACATACAATTCTGTCAATTTTCTTCCTTTTTTTTTTTTTTAAAAGACAGGGTCTCACTTTTGTTTCCTAGCTAGTCTTGAAATCATGAAACTATGATCCCTATGCCTTAGCTTCCCAAGTGGTATAGTGAAAGGCATGGGCTGCCATATTCTGATGCTATTTTTTTTAAAGCCTTAAATGATCAGTTATATAGAACTCTTAAGTTTTCAGTATTAAACTCAGAATCTTTTATCACAATATTTTCAAATGACTTTGTAAAGCTTCTTTCCTCACATTTCTATCAAGAAAAATACTTTAAAGCAGAAAGACTAAATTGTTTATAAAGGTTTTTTTCCCTTCCACCTCAGAAAAGCCCATATCACCAAATAAAAACAACCTGTAAATAAGTAGAAGAACACAAGACTAATGTACAGGGTAGTTTTGTTGTTTAAACCAACCAACCAACCAACCAACCAACCAACCAACCAACCAACCAACCAAATATATAAGGTCAGATTAGTTCCCTTTGAGATTTCTGACAATCATACATCTCTCTTGGGAAGGAAAACATATTCCTCTTGACAGGATATAACAACTCTGACTAATGAGAGCTGAATCTCATACCCCACAGGCAATACAATGTTTGGTGAAAGATGATCTCCTCCTCCAGATGCTGCCTTTTAATTCTCTTTCTCCACCGCTATTTTCCACCCACCTTCTGTGAGTGTTATTCATTAATGGAGGATACCTAATCTCCACATTATTAATAATGACCTAGGGACATCTGCTTAAAATGTTTAGGTTTCACTCTGTGGAACTACTGGCAGACTAAAATGTTTACATCAGCTTATTACAAGAAACATCAAATATCTCTTGATTTCTTTATGGGCTTCAATAATGCTATTTTTGATACAGGCATTACCAGAACACAAAGCTTCACCCTCTAGCCTGAACCAGAACCACTTGAGAACCCTGGCTCCCTTCTCTCCCCTCTCTCAGCTGTGGTGAACTGAGTTCTGTGTATAATTTGTTCATGTATATTTGTAATGGAAACTTAGCAAACTAATCATGCATTAAATATTCAGGAGAGTAGAGAGCTTAAATATTCCAAATGTCAAGCAACAGTTTTCTTGGATATGAGCAGAAAACTGCAATGTTTGGCAGGTTCCAGGTCATTATATATTAATTAAATACTCCACTAAAAACTTAACATTATCTCTGTATCTACAACGTGATTCCAGGAGAACCAAGGATACACAGGAAAACCCTGTATTGAAGACCCCCCCAAACAAACAAACAAAAACCTTACCATTCATTTGCAGATTCCCAAACCACTGTTGGACCATTTCCATCTGAGGGGTCTGGTCTGCAAATGGAAAAGGAGTTTTTCCTAGACAATGATGATTGGAACTAAAGAGGGAGAAAAAAAAAAAAATCCCATAAACCAATTATTGCACAAGGTAGGATTATGGACAGAACCCAGAGCTACATGCAAACAAACATAAACACAACATGCTGAATTTGTGTTCTAAGACGGAGAATACCTAGGTTTTAAATGTTTTAAAGCAGAAACCCTAGAAGAGATTTAAGTACCCGAAATTTCAGAATAACTATAAAAAAACAGGATTGGTATAATCATCTCTAAAACTCCTAGCCAAAATGCCATGGCACTACAATGGGACCACTAGATGTCTACTATTCTTTTATAAGCTTATAATTCAAACATTAAAAGATCACAACCAATTAAAAACTACAATTAGTGTTTGTATCAGCATCAATCAGTACCACAGCTACTCCTCACTCAGCCTCAGCTTCCCTCTACATGCAGCTCTATGAGTCCTTGGGTAATCAGACTTGTTCAATAGCTGCTATGCTGTGCTAGAGATTTGTTCCAAGTATCAAACTAACCTAAAAATTTAAACATGCTCATGAACTTTTTTCTGCAGTGCTAAAGGTTGACATGAGGGCACAGTGCATTTCAAGCCACTGTTCTCCCACTGAGCTACATCTAATCAGCGTACTTGCAATTAAGAGATCTTAACCAACAGTAATAACATAAAAGCCTTTCTACTTTGAAAAAGAATAAAACTTGCTGTAGAATAGACTGGACTCTGCACGATTCTTCTGGCTATACCTCCCAAGTTCTAGTAGTATAGACATGTGCCACAACGCCTGGCTCAAAATTTTCTTTTTGGTGTTTTATAACGCCTTATTTAGATGCAGCTTTGTGTCTGTGCTAACACGTTTATCAAAATGCTTTTGAAAGAATCTTTCTTTACACGGCGTGGTCATTACAAGGTTTTTCAAAATATCCACAACTATTGCCTGTTTTGTCTTGAAGTTAAAAACATTGACATTGCTGCTGGTGGGTGAATACCTGTGTTCGTTTTCATCCAGTGATCTTCTGGGCTTTGAAAGCATTTCTACTGAGTGACATCGTTCTATTGAGTACGTTTTTGCATGAGACTGATTAGAAGTGCTGGATCTATCAGAGGAATGAGCTCTGCGAAGGTATCGAGAATGCGGCCTTTCCTCGGCATCTTCAATTACTCTTCCCCGTCCCCTAGTACTAGTTTCTTGCTCTGGGTTTCCCCACTGGGTACAACTACTACTTCCATCTCCTGAAGAAAAGTCACTTGAATTTTTATTTTTTTGAAATACAGTAAATTTATTTGGAAGTGGTTGACCAATCAAAAGTCTCCTTCTGTCAAGTAAGCTACCACTTAAGCTGGTGCCAGAAGAAGCTGTAATTGTTGTAGAAAGTGTGGCATGCCCACTATCCATGGAGTCCTCTACAGTCCCCAAGTCTTTACTTCTTGTTAAAGGATTCTGTGACATAAAAGGATGGTCCAACACAGAAGAGAGACTTAACCGATCTGCAGGGTTTCTACGAAGTAACTGGTGGATAAGGTCCTGGGCCTCAGGTGACAAAAAGGCTGGCATTTCATAATCTGCCAATACTACTTTATTCAATGTGTTTTTTACTGTATCAGTGTCAAAAGGTGGTCTTCCAATAAGTAATGTATAAAACATACAGCCCAATGACCAAATATCAGATTCAAGTCCATGTGCACTCCGAGTTGCAATTTCTGGTGAAATGTAATTAGGAGTTCCACATAGTGTATAGTGCTTCTCATGTGGCATTTTCAACTGCGTTGCTAGTCCAAAGTCAGCAATTTTTATGTTCATATTACGTGTAAGTAAGATGTTAGAAAGTGTGAGGTCCCGGTGTAATATGCCATGAGAATGAAGATACAACATTCCTGTGATGATCTGGTTCATGAAGTGCCTGGCTGTGAAGATTAAAAAAAGAGAACTTAACAATTCAAAAGTTCTGGAAAATCCAGTGTTTAGAATACATGATAAAACCTAGTATACATATAAGAGTATTATATTAAAATTGTAACTTGCAGCTTAGATTTACCAACAATGGCCCCTGGCCTAATAGTGCTATCTAATTTCACTTAAGAAAACTAAACACTTCTGTTAATCTTTGCTTTTTCTAACTTGTAAGCTAAGGGAAGCCAACTTTTATAACAGTTCAAAGTGTTTAGGGTACTAAATAATCAGATATCCACAACAAAATAATATTTAGAATTGTAGAAACAATCCATAAATATATTACTTGCAAAAAGTGTTTTTAATTCTTCTCAAACTCTCTCCCAAAGTATTTAGTATAAACATTTTTTTTTGACATGTGTAGTGTACACGTGTATGCTTACTTATGTGTGAGTGGATATGTTTGCATGGAGGCCACAGGTTGATATAAGCTTTCTTCCTCTATTGCTTTCCATCTTACAGACTGAGACAAGGTCTCTTATACCCAGAACTCACTTATTCCACTAATCTAGCCAGCTGCAGGGAAATCGTACTTCTAGTTTCTGAGCGCCAAGACAATAAGCAGGCAGCCACATCCACCCAAGCACTTACACGGGTGCTGGAGACCAAACCCCAGTTCTCACACGTGCAGAGCAAGAACTTGATAGCCTCCACATTTTATGTATTTCTTAATACGTTTCTGCATGATTATATATAAAGCTCCAGACACATAATAAATACTTTAAAAATGCCATGAAAGTTTTACTACTTTTTCTTCTTTAGGGTATTTCAAAGTATTTCTATAAAAAAATCAGATTTTTATTTCATTTCCCTTGAACGTTTCTGTAATTTCTGATATTTCAAGATTACAAATAATATAGAAATAAACAATCTTGTGCATGCTTACTTGCATTGTATGTATGAGTTTCTCTGTGGTATATATATATATATATATATATATATATATATATATATATATATAT